GTGTCGCTGATACTTGCTCACCCGAAGGACGAGTGCGCGCGGAGCTAAGGCGAAGATTCAATCTTACAAAAAAAAAAAAACACTTCGCCCTCCATCCGTGCAGTTGTTGAGGAGTACTACAGAGGAGCGCGCGTGGAGCTGAGGCGAAGATTCAGTCTTACGAAAACCACACTTCGCCCTCACAACACCAGGGCCAGAACCCGGCCCGCGCTCCCTGCGTGCAACTGCTGGACATCGCTGCGCCTCTTTAGAACCGGTACAGCAGCGAGTACCCCATGCTGAAGACGACAGGCTCTCCACCCAGGCAGCCGTTGAAACACTAGGCGGTGGGAAGGCAGCAAGCGAAACACCCAGCCCGCACTGTTCAACGACACGCCTGGTGGCGCGACAGGGGGGACTTCTTTGAAGGGGCCTTGGGACACGCAAATAAATACACACAAATAATAGGATTCCCCACATTTGCACATATTTTCTGGGTTTGAACCTTCCCCACACTTCCCATATTTTTCTGTATTTTCCTGGGGATCGACGATTAACTGTGTCTGTGTGTTTTTCTTCCCTCCTGAGCTTCTTCATGAGGGACATGGGCGAACGGAGAGGCGGGCAAGAAGTGGGAGAGAGAGAGAGGGAGGCTCGGGAGAGGGAGGAGGGCAAGAGCAAATCCCAGGTGCATCAACGGTGCTGCAGCACACCCTCGCGCCCCCAAATCCGCTCCTCATTTGAGCGACGGAGGAGGAGGAGGAGGAGGAGGAGGAGGAGGAGGAAGATCGAAAACGGGTCTTACGCGAGATGGCATAGCGACCTTACGCCGCGGCTTGCGCGGGCTGCCAGCGCGACACGCTACGTTGGAGACGAGGGCGCCTACGCGCGACCTTACGCGGGAAACTTACGCGCGGATGTCGGCGCAGACGAACCCGCTTTGTTTCATCGCTCATTTGGCGGCGCGCGGAGGGGGGTAGGGGGAGGGGGGAAGGCTTCTGAGAAGCACCCCTGCTTCTCAGAAGGCGCGGGCCCTGTCTGCAGATGCTGCAGATGTAAGGGCTGGCGCCTTCGAAGAAGCAGCCTCCTTCCAAGAAGCCTTCCCTCCTCCCCCCACCCCTTTCTGCGCGCCGCCAGTCCATGGAAGGGGCCCAGGCACACGCACATATAGATAGGCACAGATACCATGATCCCAAATCGTCTTCCCTGCAGCTTCCCACATGTTCGGTGGCAACTCATGGGAGCCTCCCATACCATCTTGTCGGCTCTTGCGGATCGACGCTAATCGACGCTAATCGACGCTAGTCGACGCTGATCGGCGCTAGTCGACGCTAGCTGACGCTAAATCGGCACTGTCTCATCGACTTCCAGACGCTGATCGACGCGAGTCGACGCTAAACGCTAATCGACTCTGAAAACTAAATGAAAAACAAGTTCACCAAACTCCAATGACTTGCTACCGAACATCTGTTCCGCATGTTCCGGGGAATCGACGACTCTTTGTGTCTGTGTGTGTGTTTCTCCCCTCCCGATCCCTCCGTGCAACTGCTGGATATTGTTGGAGACGAGTGTCCTCGTCGCCCGAAGACTGGAGCCCCATCTCGACATGCCCATGGCCTCCCTCCCTTGCAACCGCTAGCTTCGAACGAGCGTTCGAGGCGCCAAAACAAGAGCCCTGCCTTGAAAGCGGCCCGCCCACCATCCGTGGCACTGTAGGAAGACGTCAAGCTTCAAATTCGCCATGTGGACGTCTCAGGCGAGACGCCGGGCCTGCCCTAACGACACGCCTGGAGGTGCGACAAGGAGGAACAGGGAGGAGCTGTGCACATGGAGGAGGGCGGAGGCGGAGCAATCTCCTCGCGCTTTTGGCGCCCCACCCGCACAGGCTTCCGCCGGTACGTGGAGCCCCCAAACTCCTGCCCAAAGAAGGCGGCCCACGAGAACTCCTGCCAGCGCTCGCCCGGCACGCACAGCCAAAGGTGGCGGGCCACGGTCGCTTCGCCAAGGGAGCGGGTCCAGGAGGAAGAGGAGGGGACCCGAGAGGAGGGATGAGGCGTGGAGGAGAAAAGGAGGATGAGGAAGAGGAATGAGGAGCACGACGACGACGACGACGACGACGACGACGACGACGACGACGACGACGAGAGCAGGGAGGAGGGGAGAGCCAGAGGGGAAGGGTCCGGGGGGAGGGGGTACTCGAGGCTCTTGGAGGCGCAGTGTGGGTTCCTGGAACGTGCAGGGCTGGGGGCGGCATCGACAGCTCTGGCGGGCCCAAAGGGAACCTCAGCAGCTCGTGGCGCCCCCGGAGTGCCAGGAGGGTGCTCAAGCCTCTGTGCCGCCTCTCCGCTGGGGGAGGGGCCTGCTCGAAGGGCCCCGCGCCTGCCTTGCAGGTGGACGGAGGCTCGCCGCCGCCGCCACCACCACCCGGAGGGGTGCCAGGGTCTGTCGGCCCGCGGGGCGCTGGGTGGCGGCGCGCAGGGGGGGGGGGGGGGCAGGGGGCGAGGCTCCTTGGAGGGAGGCTGCTTCTCAGAGGGTGCCACGCTCACGCCCGCAGACGAGGCCCGCGCCTCCTGGGAGGCGGGGGGCGCCTCCCCCGCCTCCCCCCTGCCCCCCGCCTGCGCGTGGCAGGGCAGGTGCGAAGGAGGATGGCGGGACGCACCTGGCGAGTGCAAACAAAAAAACAAAACCTAAACCAAAAGACCGCACGAGAAAGACGGCAGATCGCAGATCGCAGACGGCACGAGAGAAGAGGAGAAGGGAACACAGGAAGCTTGAGAAAAGGAGGAGGCGAGGAGAGGGGAGGAGGAGGAGGAGGACGGGGCGACCACACTGCTCTATTCAGAACGAGTACCCAACCATAGGAAGGTTGGGAAAAACCCTGAACCAAAAGGCCTCGCCACCTCTTGGGAGGTCGGGGATCTTCGGACCCGGGTCAATCCAGACCCGGGTCAGCAGGAAACCAAAAACTGCAATGCAGGAAAACAAAAACTGCAACGCAGGTCTTCGCAGACCCGGGTCAGCCAACACGCGCGGCCGCCTCGCGGCCACGAGCGGCTCGCTATCCCGGGTCAGCCAGGGGGGGCCTTCGCAGGATCCTGCAGGATCCGGCGCCCTGGCTGACCCCCGTCTGCACTGACCCCCGTCTCAAAGCTCCCGATTGGAAGGCCACTGAAGACCCCCGCCGGCCTCCGCCGAGTCTCCACCGGCCTCCGCCGGCGGAGGCGGCCTCGCTCTGCCTCCGCGGGCCCTCCGCGGGCCCTCCGCCGCGGGAGAGAGAGATCACCCAGCACGCTCGAGCCTCGACGGCGAGGCCCTCCTCTTCAGGGCTTACGTCGGGCCTGTCCCCCTGCAGGGGGATTTTCGACAAAAAATAAAAAGATACTCAGATACCCCAACAAATGATCAACAAAAATACTCCAAACATAGTCTGGGGACTGTTTTTTGAACATTGTTTGACCTTCTTGGGGCATTGTTGGGAGTATTTTTTAGTTTTCGTCGAAACTCCCCCTGCAGGGGGACACGCCCGAGATAATTCAATGCCTCGCAGCAGTGTCCAAAGCCTCGCGGTCCGGACTCCGCGACCGCGGCCGGCCTGCCGCGCGGGGTGGCCGGCCGGCCAAGAATACCCCAGGGAGGTCAAACAATATTCACAAAATAGTCCCCAGACTAGGTGTGGACAATTTTTGTAAATTATCTGTTTGTATACTTTTTTTGTTTTCCGTCGAGAATCCCCCTGCGGTGCGCCCCCGCGCAGGGGGGGCCACGGTCCCGCGAGAGGCCGCGCCTCGGGGTGCCCAGAGAGCGCGAGGGCACGGACGTGGACGCGGGCAGGGTCGTGGCTCGTGGGCCCTCTTCCGCGGGCTGGTGGGCGGCACCCATCGTTCGGGGGAGAAGGGGGTGTGAGCATCTCAGCTGCCCCGGCACGCGATACGCGACACGTGGCGTGTGGATACGGGGCTGAAGACGTAGGTCCGGCGCGAAACGTTCGCCAAAACGTGGGCCAATACGTGGAGCCAACACGCCACGTATTGACACGGACGTCTTGAACACGGGACGTGTTGCGTTTCAAAACGGGCGCATCGAGGCAACTAAGATAAGCATGAAGCGGTAAGGCGTTAGAAGATTGAACATGACACGCGAGAGGACACAAGACCCTTCCCAGGGCCACACTGCCGCAGGAGTGCAGGAAGCATGTGTCGCGAGACACAGGACACGAGGGTACCCTTGATCTGGCAGGGTCGACCTGCTAATCCGGGCCGCCTGTAGATTTAAGTCGGGCCTGTCCCCCTACAGGGGGATTTACGACGAAACAAAAAAATACCCCCAAAATCTATCAAACAATAATCCAAAAATAGTCTGGGGACTATTTTTTGCATACTTGTTGGCCTTCTTGGGGTATTTGGGGGTATTTTTGATTTCTCGTCGAAAAATCCCCCTGTAGGGGGACACGCCCGACATAACTGCAGATTGGGCCTCCGAGGAAGGGAGGGGGAAGCCACCCGAAGCTCGAGGCAGGAAGGCGCCACTCCGGCGGACCAGACCCCAGGAGGTCAGGGACCCTCGACCTCCAACGGGCGGCGGGCAGCGACCAGCCCACCTCCGACCTCAGGGCTCAGGACGCTGGTGGTGCGCAGAGGGGGGGGGTAAGTAGGGGGGGAGGGGGGGGGGGAAGGCTTCTTAGAAGGAGGCTGCTCCTTCAAAGGCGCGGGCCTCGCGAGGCTCGCGCCTTCTGAGAAGCAGGGGCGCTTCTGACAAGCCTTACCCCCTCCCCCACACCCCCGTGTGCGCGTGGCCGAAAACTGGAGGATCAACAAAAACGCTGCATAAACGTAAACTGGTTGGGGTCTGCGCGGATTTCTTGGATCTGCGCCGGACCCCTTCCCTGGCGCGCGGAGCGCGCCAGGGGCGGCGCCAGAGGCGTCGCTGGGAGGGGCCCAGCGCGGATCCAAGAAATCCGCGCGGAGCGCCAAACGCTTACGTTTCTGGCGTTCTTGTTCCTCTTCGAAAGGCGGCCAGGCGACCGTGAGCGGTGGGCCTTGATCACCTCCTCGCAGCGGTACTGCAGATCGCCGAGGACGCCCTCCGTGGGCGGCCGAGGGCCGAGAGACTCGACGGCCAGCAGCGGGCGGGCGCGCGCCAAGGTCTGGCGGGCCCCGGCGAGAACCCGCTCCAGGGCGCCCTCCACGTCCACCTTGAGCAGGTCCAGGCTGTAGAAGAAGGAACAGAGCACAGCAAGCATCAGCTCTGGGCGTCGCTGACGGGGAAGGGCGGTACATGGGGAGGACGCCGCGTGCACTTCTCGGGCCCTAGAGAGGCCCCCTTTGGGCCCCCAAATGGCCCCGTTCCTGCAGCCCCCGCTGCCGCCCGATTCAGCCCCCACACACACACACACACACACACACACACACACACACACACACACACACACACACACACACACACACACACACACACACACACACACACACACATCCGTAGCCATTTTGGCTCAAGGCTATGCACCGCCCGACGACCGCGAGTCCGTTCTCGGGCGCCTCTGAGCGCGAGGGGGTTCGCGCTTTGAGGCCTGTTCCTTTGTGCAAGATTCTCTCTCCAGTGGCCAGCCTGGCCGTCATTTTGCTGCTCGCGGGCACAGCTTCCGAGTCTGTGGTTGAGGAGCAATGGCGCCGCCCGCCGCTGGTGCAAAGGGAGGAGGCAGTCGTGCAGCCCGTCGTGACAAATGGCTCTGCAAGTCCTGCCTCGGACGTGATCACAAGCCCTACGTCAACTTCGCTGACAAGCTGTGCTGCAACAGTTGCGGCCTGGCCAAAAGCGTTGTGTACGGGGGCCCCGTCAAGCCCAGTGCGCCCTCCCGGCCAGCGCCGTGGGCCGCAGGAGGCAAAGCAGCAGGTTCGCTCTCGGCACAGCTGCTTGAGATGCAGAAGCAAGTCCAGTCGCTCACGTCGCAGCTCAAGCAGGCGAAGGCCAAGCCACCCGAGTCGGCGGCGCCCACGGCGAGCGCTGAGCAAAGGGAGGGCGATGCTGGGGCCGAGTCGACAGTCAAGAAAAGGCTGGACGAGTTGGACGGCTTCATTAAGCAGCTGGTTGGAGTCGACACGCCAGAGGTTGCGAAGCTGGTGGGGCAGTACAAGTCAGAGCAAGTCATGCTGCGCACGCAGCTGTTCCAGGAGAAGCCGCCTTCACAGCGGCTCAAGTCTCTCGGTTTCAAGATCACCAAGGTCGAGCAGCAGATCGCCAAGCAGCAGGCGGCCCGCGAGCTCAAGCAGGCGCAGCTGGCGGCTTTGCAGGCGGAGATCGCCACGCAGGACGCCGCGTTGGCAGTATCCCGCAAGCAGCTGCTGGAGCTTGAGGGCCAGCGGGCACAACTGGTTGGTGCGCTGCCGCAGCCTCCCGCAGCGGCCCCTGGCACGGGTGCTGGCGACGATGAGAGCAGCTGGACGCTGCCCAAGCTGGAACAAGTCCTGCTTGCTGCTGGCGCTCCTCCTGATCTGCAGCAGGACGTGGCCAATCTGGTGGACAGGATGCGCCAGCATCGGCACGCTCAGGAGCAGGAGCGAGCAGCTCAAGCCGAGCGTGAGGCCGCCCAGGCTCAGCAAGAGCAAGCCGAGGAGGCGGCTGACAGAGCCGACGCCGCCATGGAGGCAGACGAAGGAGAGGCCCAGGATGAGGAGTCCGTCAACCAGGCCACTGCCGAGGAGCTTCGCGACTTCTTGCGCGAGTCTGGCGCTGACATCCCTAACGCTGCTGATGCTTCAGAGGAGGAACTTCGGGCTGCTGTCAAGAGAATCCGCATGGCCGCAGCCAAGTGGAAGGTGGTCAAGAAGCCACGCACAACCTGAGAACTCGTTGTTGCCAGTCATGATGCGCAGCAAGCTACAGGTTACTACTGTCAACGCCAACTCGTTTGGCACCCTGTCCAAGTACCTCGCCGAATGCAGCAGCGACGTGGTATTAGCGCAGGAGCACCATGCAGGTGCCGAGAAGCTCCCTGAGGTACAAGGAGACGCCCAGGACTCGGGCTGGAAAGGAGTGTGGTGCCCCGCGCTGGCCACAGCGGCTGGCGGCACGGAGGGAGGCGTCGCTGTCTTGGCCAAGACGGACATCGTCGTCACCAAGGCGCCACTGCTGGAGGACGGCGTCATAGTGCCTGGCAGGGCCATGGCAGCCCACGTGCATGCTGCGCTTCCTGGCGGCTTCGTCGCCGTGGCGCTGTATCTACACACAGGCGAGGGCAGGTCGCCTCGCAACTTGGCCATTGTCTGGCAGGTCGCGCAGTATGTGAAGCGTGTCGTCACAGGGCCTGGCCTGGCATGGATCGTAGGCGGCGACTTCAACATGGCCCCGCAGGAGTTGCTAGAGCATGACTGGCTCCACCTCGCCGATGCCATGTGCGTGGCCCCGCGAGAGCCCACCTGCCTGCAAGCCGTGCCAGCTACCACCCTGGACTACTTCCTCGCCCACCGCCCGATGCTCCAGGGGGCTAAGTACACCGTCGACGTTTCGGTCACCGACATAACATGGCCACATAGGCCTGTGCACCTCACGCTGGCCAAGCGCACCGAGGCGCCGATGGCGCGCGAGCTAGATGAGCCGCGGCCGTTCCCTCGGCAGCTGCCCGTGGGATGCGCGCGGTATCCCTGGCATGGCTGGGAAGAAGTGTACCTCTCCATTGATAAAGCGCAGTCTCTTCCTCAGCTGGCAGTGGCATGGGACCTGTTCCTCCGAGGCGTGGAGGAAGAGCTGGCTGGCAGACACGACATTGTCGGCACGCGCAAGCAATGCTATGTGGGGCGCGAAGGCCCCGTGCAGCAGCGCACCCGTCAGCTGGAGTGGCGACCTCCTCGGAGACGAGCACGACATGTGCCAGAAGTAAGCGCGTGGAATGTTGCGGCTAGGTGGGCCCAGCACATCCTCGGGGTGCACGATTACGTGACGAAGACGGTTGCGAAGCTCACCCTGCACCAGGACGGCTCCGACACGGGTTTGGGCCAGGTGGGCCCTGCACCAGGACGTGGGTGCGCGGTGCACCCAGGAGGGGAAGCGCTGCCCGAGGCCAGGTCGACCCTGACCGTGCAGCCAGCTGCCTGTGAGGCCCACCGCGGTGGGGTGGCCGATGCCCTCACACATGAGGGAGCTGAAGGCGGCCTGGTGAGGCGATGCGACGCTCGCCCCGTCGCCCTCCCTGTAAGCCCGAGCGAGGCCCACCGCGGTGGGGTGGCCGATGCCCTCGCACATGTACGTGCCCCTGGCGGCCAGGTGAGGTGCTGCGACGCTCGCCCCGTCGCCCTCCCTGTAAGACCGAGCGAGGCCCTCTGCGGAGGGGTGGCCGATGCCCTCGCACACGCACCTCCTCTTGGCGGCATGGTGAGGTGTCGCGTCGCTCGCCCCGACGCCCTCCCTGTAAGTCCGAGCGAGGCCCACAGCGGTGGGGTGGCCGATGCCCTCGCACGAGACCTTCCCCCTGGCGGCCTGGTGAGGTGCTGCGTCGCTCGCCCCGACGCCCTCCCTGTGAGCCCGAGCGAGGCCCACCGCGGTGGGCTGGCCGATGCCCTCGCTCATGGAGCTGCTGAAGGCGGCCTGGAGAGGTGCCGCGATGCTCGCCCCATCGCCCTCCCCGCATGCCCGAGCGGGGCCCGCGGGCATGGGGCGGCCGAGGCCCTCGCGCATGGAGCGGCAGGCGGCCGCGCTGAGAGGGGCCGCGATGCTCGCCCTGACGCCCTCCCTGTATGGCCATTGCAAGAAGTCTATCAAGCGACTTCTTCGCGGGATCCTCGCTGCGCCCCACGTCCTGCGGCTGGAGGCGGTCTCCATAACATGGATGGCGAGGCCGACCCGTTTGAGGATCTCGACAGGATGCTGGATGACCAGGACCAGGACATGTACGTGGTGCCCGCTTGGTCGACAACGTCACTGGACGTGGCGGAAAACATATGCGCCCAGGTGCCTGGAACCAGCATGGATGGAGAATGTGCCCCGTCAGATGGGCCCACCCATGATCTGGACGACAGTGGCGCACCTGAGCCCCAGCCTGCACCTGCAGCTAGTGGAGAGGACCCCGATCAGGTTGCGGCCCAGCGCAGGCAGGAGATCATTCGACGTGAGCTTCAACGGTACACGCGGCACTGGATTGGCGACCCTCGGAGCGAGCAGCAGACGGAGCAGGAGGTCACGGAGGACTGGATGGAGTGGTGCGTGCCCTACGCCGCGGAGCAGCTGCAGGACCCCGCTGTTGACCCTCTCTGGGACGGAGGAGGCTGGGAGGAGGCCCTGCCTCGCGATGCGCGCCGTTGGCAACGCGCTCGAGAGATGTGCGAGGCGGCTTATCGTGCTGGAGCTCGCAGCCGCGACCGTTATCGTGCCCACCTTCGGCGGCTACGCGACCAGTCGGAGGTGGACTGGACAGAGGCCGTGGACATGCACCTTCGCGCCTTCGAGCAGCACCGAGGGTGGATGGCCCGACGCTCAGGCGCTCGGGCGAGCAGAGCCCCCCCGTCTCGACCCCTTGGCGCTGCCAGAGGCATGGTGTTAGAAGGGGTGCAGCACTACAAGCGTGTCAAAGGCCTGGCCACCGCCCTGCTGGAGTTCGAGGGCTTCTGTGCACGAGTTGGCAAGCAAACGCACATACTGGAGCAGCTTGATCGCGGCGCCCGAGAGCTCTTACAAACCGGCGCCGTGATGCTTAGGGCTAGCTCGCTGAAGGTCCAAGCCCAGGTCATCATCGCCAAGGCCAAGCAGCTCTCCACGGACGCGGAGAACAAGTGCACCAAGGCCTGGACTGACTGGGCGAAGGACGCCTTTGTTGGGGGCGCAGGTTTGGCCCACCGTTTCGCCAAGCCCAAGCAGGAGGTGGAGATCCCCAGAGAGAACAAGAGCGGCCACCCAAGCGACCTGGCAGACACCGAGCTCCAGGACTGGAAGGCCATATGGGAGTACCACAAGCTCGGGGAGGTCCCGCTGCCTGCAGAAGCCCAGTCCTGGCCTGAGCTGCCACACCTATCGACATGGGACCTCAGGCAGGCCATCCGCACGTTTAAGCTGGGCACAGCAGTCGGCCAGACAGGGTTCCAGCCGAGGCACCTCGACGCTCTCTCGGACCAAGCGCTGCTGGCCCTGTCTCTCCTGTTCCACGCCTGCGAGCACCACCTTGGCTGGCCGCCGCAGCGCCTCGCCACGGTGCTGGTCCGCCTCCCGAAGGCGGGAGGAGGCATGAGACTGATCGGCTTGCTAAACACGATCGTG